GGAGATGCCATGATGGTAGGATACTGCAATGGTTCTAAACACATGCCAGTTGTCAAGCATCTGAATTTTGACATGGGGATGCTGCAATGGTCATAAGAATGAAAAATTGTCATAAATCAAGCTTTGGGAAAAGTTAGGAAAAAAAATATTTTGAATCTGAACTGGGGATATGGAACTCCGAACTTGGATTCTGTAGGAGAAGAACAGGCAGAGATGGAGGGGGGAGTTAAGCAAGTCATCAGCCCGGAATCATTATGTTCTCACAAATGGTCTAAATCCAATCCCTCTTGAATACTGTTGTTAACCGCTATCTGGTGCCAATTATAGTACTGAACTTTAGTTGACTAGATTCCTGTGTGTAGGCTTTTCTGAACTGCAACATAACTTATGGTCCTGATCCTTTGCGCCCGGCAGGTCTCATCTATCTTCCTCAAGGCTGTTGCAACCATTGCGTTCCTCCTGCTGAGCCTTAGCAACAAGATTCCATCACACGGTCCATATTTCACCACGGCAACCCAAGCTGGGTTCGTGCTTCCCATCCCACCTGAGGTCGAAGAGGCAGAGAGGAACCCAGGCAGCCCCTCCCCCAGAGGAGGCTTGCGGGGGGGCAATTGTGAAATAGTCACGCAGGATGCGCCAGGTGTGTTCTTCAAAGACATCTGTTTCAGTAACCATGGTGAAGATAGCCAGACGGAAGGATCTCCGTGGTTGATTTGAAAGGATGCTGATTTGAGCTCCAGAGGTAAGAAATGGGGCATTAAGAGAAGCACCGCCAAGGCAAACGGTGGCCTAGCAGTGGCCTTGGGAAAGCAGAACCTTCTAATGAGTCGGTTGCTAAGCATCTGCTGTTAGCAACGGGTCCTTCTAAGCTGTGTAAGCAGGAGGAATTAGCAAGATGCTAATAATGGGTGGGAAGTGGGAACAGAGTGGAAGATGAAGAGAAAGAGAAAGAGAGAGGGAGAGAAAGAGAAAGGAGAGAGAGACAGAGAAAGGGAAAGAGGGAGGGGAGGAAGAGAAAGAGGGAGGGAGAGACTCTTAAAATAGCCCCTTTTAAAAGCTTCCATCCTGCTCGCCCACAGAAACTGGAGCGTTGATTTATTTATCAATGATATTTGTTTTCCTTCCCGACAAGAAAAGCCGATTAAAGATCTATGAATAATAGAAGAACAGATGATCCTTTGGACTGGAAGTAAACTTTGAATAGGAGGGCCAGAATGAAACCTCTCTCTATATCTTTAAACCTCTAAATATTTAGAAGGAAGGAAGACAAGAAGGAAGAACGCTACGATCACCCGCAGATTCACGAGATGGCCATCCGATGGGGAGAGAAACCTGGAAAGATGCCAACTTTGATAGCCAAGCCAAGGCTATCACAACGTTGGCGCAGACAATTCTTTGAGTCCAGGGTTGACTGGTGGGTTCTGAGAGTTGAAGTCTTCAAGGTTGGACACCCTGGATGTAGAAGGAGATGTATGTCCCTTTGTGGTTGAAGATGAAGACGTTAAAAGCCTCTAAGATGTAATGATTTGAGGCAGCCAGCTCCAAAAAGCCACCTCTCTTCTACGTCTCTGAACGATTTTCCTTCTCAAACAGCTGCTTCCTTCCTCCAGCCAACCAGGCGGTATATTTACTAGTTGAACAGTACAGATTTACAGAAGCTTCGGGCAAACCCTGAGGCTTAATGAGACAGGATTCCCAGAGGGTTGGTAGCTTTTGAAGCAACCTTCCCAGTGCTTTCTTTGACCGGCAACCAACTTGCCTTTTCTCACGGGGTCTCTTCACCCCCAAGGACAAGTCACCACCTGATTTCTACAGCCCGAAACTGTCCAAAGTTCAAAGAAGGCCATTCCCTTCTCTTTATTTCACCCAGATCTTAAGCCAAGGCTATTTCAATGTGTTTATAACCCAACCTTCCATGTGAAGATTAGTTTTCTGAACAACTTGATTTGATAAGGTGAAGGGTCGTTGGGGCCCCCTCAGCTCAGTTGTTTTCTTGTAGATGTTTCATAACCCAACTAGGTATCATCATACTTGATTATCTAATTGGGTAATGAAACATCTGGGAGAGAACAGCCAAGTTCAGAGAGCACCAAGGAACCCTACAGATTAACTATGAGCTGGAAATATTCTCTTCTATTGGTTTTATAAGGGTCAGAGAAGTAAACAGAAGAAACATTTGGTGGAATGTGAAAATAACCAGTATGACGCTCTGAGGTTGGGGAGAAGGAGATGGAGAAGAAGAAGAAAAGGAGAGGAAGGAGGAAGAGGAGGGGGGAGAGGAAGAGGAGAAGGAGAAGAAGAAGGAAAAGGAGAGGAGGAGGAGGAGGAGGAGGAGGAGGAGGAGGAGGAGGAGGAGGAGGAGGAGGAGGAG